TAGTGCAAGTAAGCTATATTGCATCCACGTCTTTCTAAACTACTCTCAAAAGTTGTAAAATGTGAATTCTAGCTGACACCAAGTTGTCATATTTTGTGTTTGTTAGGAACTGATCTTGTTCAATTTGTCACCGAATTTTCTTTTGTATTTTCCTATATCATTTAAAGAAAGTAATAAATCTCTACAGCAATTGGTTTCAGGTAGTCATGAAGTGTTCTTGTTAAAAGCTGCAGCTGGTTACAAACAAAAAACAGTCCACTTTTCATGAAGCTCTCTGTAGCAGCCATAGCTAGCAATTACTTTTGAAGCAAGCACCCTCTGTAGTAGCTGCAACCTACTCTTGCTTCTGAGAAAAGCATCCTAAGTAGCAGCTTAACATGTTAGTAAGCATCCTCTGTGCAGTCAGGCCTTAGCCTACTCTTACTTAAATAAGCATCTTCTTTAGGAAATGTAGCTTTTTCGACTTTTGAAGTTAGGGTCCTCGGCTGGCTACTCTCACTTCTGAAGAAAGTATCTTCTTTAGTAGCTGTTATCTACTCATACTTCTGAAGGAGGTTTCCTCTGAAGCAGCTAGAGCTTAAACTTATACTACTTCTAAAGTAAAGTCTAGCGGCTGTAGCTTGATATTACTTCTGAAGTAAGAACCCCCCAGTAGTAGTGAAAGCTTACTCTTACTTCTGAGCAAGGCTCATTGTTGTGGCTGTAGCCTACTCTCACTTTCCTACAAATGTGTCTTTTACCTGTTGCAGCTTTGGAGTTATCCAAGACTATTCTGGTTACTAAAATGAATCCATCAGATGTAGGTATGCTGAGGGATATGGAAATTCTACACTTGAGAGTGAATTTTCTTACCCTGTATACCAACATACCACTGGACTCTTTTTCTCACATCTCTTACCTGGGATTTTGATAAATGTTGGATACTGACATTATGGTTGAACAAAAAAAAAAGAATTTTCAGTAGATCAAATATAGACTTTCACAACTGGATTTAAGGCTTCACAGCAACCTTTCTTAATTATTGCTTATTCCTGATGAGGTTATGTCAGTTACAGTGTTCTATTCTCCCCAACCCCGACAGATCAAAATGACACCTTGTCACATTGTTCTGAAAGAAGAGTCTATCACTCCAGTGTGATATAAACCGAAAAATCTCAATACAAGGGTAAGAGTTTTGAAGGTAAGCACAAGACCTACCCAAGTGCTAAGCTTCAAAAACCTTATCCATGAGTTGAGTCTCTGTTTATTCCTAATAAGAGTAATCGAGGGGGTTTCTCCCATACTTCCTTCAGCACCATAAAACTAAGTTTTACTGGAAAACCGTATACACTGTGCCATCATCAAGGGCAATGGTGTATAAAACATGACAAAATTGAACACACTACCCTGGTTACATTGCATAAAAAATGATGGGGTTGTGATGTTTTAGAATAATAAAGCGTGCAAGCTGTTTTTCCCTAGGTAGAGAAAGATCGTTTTTTTTCTTACCAAGGACAGGTGTATTCACATGTCAAAAACCTTGCAAGATTAATAGAATCTTTCATCCCCTTGCGGGTAAGATAGGTGAATCTCAACCAGAGGAGGTAGATTCTTACATTAAGTTAACTTAAGAATGTTTTTAGGGTTGAGATTCCCAATCTCACCACAAGTGGGTGCACAACAGTGCATATACATAATGCACTGTTAAGGTTACAAGTTAAATTTAGGGTTGGCATGAGACAAGGTATATCCGCACTTTTACCGGTGTGAGATTTCCTTGTCTCACCCTAGGGTTGAGACAAGCTACACATGTTCTTTGCACGTTCTCAACAATTGTATGACGTCATAGCAACAATACCATGACATCACGGCAAAAATACAATGACGTCATGTCGAGAATTCAGCCGCATCACATCAACATTGTCTTGCATTGATGTAACATCTATACAAAATACATAAGAGGGTAGACAGGGTAAGAAAAAAATAATCATTCACCCCCTTGGTAGTGAGACAGGGTGATTTCAACCCTCGGGGTAAAATTCTTAAGCTGTCAAACACTCGGCAAGCCTCGTGTTTGACAACTTAAGAATCTTACCCCTCGGGTTGAGATTACCCTGTCTCACCCCCAAGGGGGTGAAAGATTCTCTTAATCTCACACCTGTAAAAGTGTGGATACACCTGTCCAGGGTAAGAGGATAATATAATCTTTCCCTGCTTTGGGGGCAAGACAGAAAAATCTCAACCCAAGGGGCAAGATTCTTATATGTTTAGCGTGAGGTTTTGCCGAGGGCCAGACTTTTGAGAACTTACCCGGAGGGTGCAATTTTTCAGTCTTACTACTGAGGTGGGAAATGATTTTCTTCTTGAAGATCAAATACAAGTGGTAATTTTATAATTTCAAGCAGATTAAGTTATCTTCATGTGACATCATATAATTGTTTTGACAGGGAAATCCTCCTGTCTTTACCCTAGGGTAAGACCAGGGAATATCTTTGAATTTGAGAGCAGTGGGCCGTTTCAGCAATTTTTAGTCAATATTAAAATTAAGACGAGCCTTTTAATGTAAAATTAAAATAAAAATGTAACATGGAGAGGTCATTTTCAGTTTTGAGGGGTCAAGAGAATGGCCCCCTCCAGGATTATCCCTGTAAGACAGAGATATCTTTCCCTGACCGGAAGTGTGGATATCACAGTCTGATTGGACCTTTTCTCCCCCATTAGACAGTAATAACACACTTCTGGTCAGGGAAAGATATTTCTGTTTTACCCCGAGTAAAGACGGCAGAATTCCCATCATAACAACTGTATGACATCACATCATAAATGCAATATGTCACATCAACAATAGCGGATCACAGAAGATAACTTCTATATGCTGGAAATTGTGCAATGTATTTTTGTGTTTGCTGAAACTACCACTTGTGTTTCAGATGCAAAGAAAATAATAATTCCTCACTTTAGGTGTAAGACAAAGCCTCGGGTCAAACATTTAGGGATCTTACCCTTTTGTTTTGAGATTTTTCTGTCCCACCCTCCAAGGTGGGGAAAGATTAATACAATCGCAATCTTCTCTGTCACACCCTTAAGGCAGCGGGTGATTGGTTTTCTCCCATCCTGTTTCACTCACAAATCTGCCAACAAGCGTTGATTCCGTGAAATATAAGCGTTGATTGCATGTTTTTCCAGAGTTGTCTTCCATGGTCTGCTACTTTTAACGTGATGTCAATGCATTAATGATGTGACGCCATACTATTTTATGACTTATATAGCGCCATTCTGCACAAGGATATCTAACCCTAGGGGAGTGACAAGCTGATATTTTTCAGCTTAAAAGGGAGACACACCTGTGAAGGGTGGAAGAATCTGAAGTCTCACCCTTCTGTTAAGACGTGGGATTCCCCAATCAAAACAATTGTATGCTGTCATATTGACAGTGCATAAACATCATGTCAACAATGCATCTTGTCTGCAACTTCAACACTGCATTATGTATATGACAGGGTCAACAAGGTAAGAGAGAATCATTCATCCCCTTAAGATGAGATAGGGAACCTAAAACCTTGGGAAAAGATTTTTAAGTTGCCAAACACTCAGCATGCCTCGTGTTTCGCAACTCAAGAATCTTCCACCTCAGGTTGAGATTCCCTTATCTCACACACAAGGGGGTGAAAGATTCTATTTATCTTTACTCTAGCAACAAAGGGAATGCACCTTTACCTTCACTGTCCTAGATATGAACGTTGATGTTTCTATATAGATTTATATATATATATACAGGATGTAATTCTTGTTCACATTAGTACTGTTAAATAGGATTTTTGTTAAGTCCGATTCATTTTTAGCCATTTCACTCTTAAAAAAATGCAAAACCTCTAATTAACTCTGTTTGAAGACCAAATAGACACTGGTCAAATGTGTTTAAATAATTGTGGGACCAAATACAGCGAAAATAAATGTTACCAGGTAAGGACCCTGTACCACTGCCAGCAACTGTAACTACAAAAATATACAGAGTACAGTGGGACAGAGATCCGGAGTATTAATCAAGACTTCATTTCTAATCCCTATTCATGAATACTCAAATTCACATCTGAGAATATACTATTTCAACATTTAAACATTGATATTAATATACCTTTCTCTGAAAATCAAATTACACACAGTATGTGAATGATGGATTTTAAAATGTTGAAAATTCATGTTTAACCTGACATATATTAAAGAAATACTATATGTCAAATTTCATGAGTCAATTTTTACACAAGTTATAACCAATTACAAATTTTGAAATGGTAGTCCATCAGCTCCAGCTGCAAACTTCTTTTTCTCAGCAATCTGAAAATACACCTAGAAACAAGTCTGCAAAGCAAAATAAAATGAAGCATATATTTTAAAAATGTTTCATGTAACTCTACATATTTTAAATTCAAATCTGAAAATGGAGACATGGTATCAATGTAATTCATGTTTATAATGCTGATTCTGTGCAAACAAGAAACATAAAAAATATGTTCTCATATAATTGCCAATAAACATGCAATCATAAAACATCCTGGTTTAAACCATTCAGACAAACCGACTTTCGTCTCTTTTTCGTTTACAGAGCAACACTATGTTTAAATATGAGTATGTTAACAGAAATATTAGTTTTTAAAACAGGATGCCATCATTATGTATTTACTTACTTTTTTTTCATTTACACAAATAACAAGGCGACCGTGTAGTAAGAAATCTCACTGCACAAACCAAAGTGTATCCTGGTTTTACAGATACGATTTCCAAATATACATGTATGTTTCTGGCCGTTTCAACACTAATCGAACGCTAAAAGGATGCAACATGAAACACTGAACTGTCTGAAAGTCGCTCTTGACATTTGTCGTATTGTCAATTCAAACATAAGTTCGGAATCAAATTTGCATGCAAATGACACGATTTCCACAATTTTTGGATACGCATGCCGCTGTCAAAATAAATTGTATGTTGTAAATAAATATCAACTACCAGTAAGTTTAATTTACCTTCTTTGTTTAGCTTCATACTATGACCATTGTCATCGTCACTGTCTTTGGAGCTCTCAGCACCTGTAACGATGAAAAAACATCGTTTTTATGTGACATTTCGTGCAAATTGAGATCATCGTGAAATGAGAGGCAATGATGGTACTCATTTTAAAATCGTGTTTATTCAAAATATGCCTAATGATATTGGCAAATATTTCAGAATCTTGCTCTTAAATATGTAACCTTACCACTTTCTGGCGAAAAAGGCACATTATCGGCCCAGTTGCCCCATGCTTGGCCAGCAAATAGCGACGGACTATCGTCCAGGGTCGCCATTTTGCACTTTTCTTGTTGCTTTCTGCCAGAACGGAGCCAACCGAAGATTCGGTGACGTCAGACTCGGGAAAATCCGCAAACCCACACAAGTGCTTCCGCTTAAATCATTCAAAATAAAATAAATAATGTTTCGAATAATTTATTTGCCATACAAATACTAGAACAAAGTTTAACTAAAATTTTGTGACATATGAACTAAGAGAAACATTATTTAAATATGATGTCATGATATTTCCTAATTATTTTTACTACAACTTAAGGGGTCCTCAATTTGTAAACTTGAAAAATGTCTGTGACTGATGGTAAGTCCCATGCAAAGCACGTGTCATTAAATACTGGTACATAAGAAGACGATTTCACGTGTATACATTTTAAATATACTTAATTATCTCTTTCCTTGTTGTAAATGAAATTAAGATTCAGTTAATTTTGTATGTCGCTATCTCTTGATGCAATTTTGCCGGTGCCGGTGCATCAAAATGAACTCGACAGTAGACGATTCGGCACCCAAAGAATTCAATACAAAAAAGATCGGTTTCAATACAAACGATAATTATTTTAGTCCTTTGGGAAAAAATGAAAATTAACACTAAACGTCCATTATCAGGATCAAAATTCACAGTAAATTTTGAGTCTAAACAATGGACAGAGACAAAAGGTTTATCCACATTTTATTAAGAACTTAAAACTTAATTAACTATATGATTGAGTCAAATTCAGTCAAAACGCATTACAGTAACATCGAAGGAAATTATTCTCTGTTAACAACATCTTTATATGTAATTACCTAATGCTACAACTTCAAAGTACTTTGTCCCATATCCTTGATACTCCATGGGCTATGCCCACTTTCACTCTCTGCACCCTTGGAATATGTCATAGCAAAATTGAAGACATACGGATAGCTATTTGATTGGTCTCTGGTAAAAAAAACTTGACCAATTGCCAAGGCTTACACCTGTCCTTTTGAAGATTACAGAGGAGCAACACCCGACTTCAAAGCCAGTCAATGTTGTTTTTTATTTTAATGTATATCAAATGATCAAATTTGCCTTAGCTTCTCATCCACAAGGTGGTGGAAAATGAGCCTTCGATTTTGCTAAACATATTCCAGCGGTGCAGAGAGCGAAAGTGAGTGTAACCCCTGAACTATCGAGGATGCCTTTATCCTAGGTCCAAAACTTCTTCCTCTGGATAGTTTTGTGCCATCTATTCTGATGATTTTTCTAGGCATTGCTGAAAAGAAAGCAGAACACACCTATTTGCGTTAAAAACCATTAAAACAGCTGTGATTCAAAGTTATGAGAGTTAGGATACTGACATATACACTTGCCAACCTTTTGAAAATTCCATGAGGGAGATTCTCCGTTCTCAAAAGTAAAAACATAAATAAAATATTTGTATATGTCCGTAGGTACAAAAAAACACTTTAAAATAGCATATTTTGAGTTGTACTTTCAGATGTTATAATTAGATTTTAAAATATAGGAAGTTCAAGAGTTCAACAGTGTCACTGTTTGGAAATATTAAAATTAAGGGTACAAAATCGAGAGCCTCCCTCCTAAAGTGGGAGAGTTGGCAAGTATTAGATCTTAATATACAGGAAGAGTTCAACAAAGTCACTGTTTGGAATTATTTAAATTCAGTTTTCAAAGATTTCAAATTCAAAGATGGAACATTAACGTTTAACTGGTTACCATACTTATTTGGCTTTCCCTAGTTATTCGATATCACATGTGATAATGTATTATTCAAACTTTGTTAATTTCTTTTTCAGATGACATCATCAAGAAGCGCTTATTGATTGAAGGTGATGGAGGTAACGATGACAAACGAATTTGCAACCTAATGAGAACATTCCTCCGTTACTGTAACTCAACAGAAAATGATGAGGAAAGGTAAAGACGAGTTACCGTCTCACCAACTGTCTCTGGGAACAGGGGTTAAGGACATTACTGACTATGTGTATTCAACTGAACTTGACAAATCACCTCACAACCTATTTTCTCAATTTACTTATTATGATGTCTGCTTTATCCTAGAAAATCACAATACCAATGAAAATTTGCCTTTGAAAAAATTCCTTTCGTTACATTTACTGTTAGTAAAAATACATGTGTGACGGTGTTATCTGCAAACATAATGTATGAAAAGTTCTTAAATATAGAGAAATATTTATACAGTTAGTAAAAATAGCATGTGTGTTATCTACGAAATTTATGTATGAAAAGTTTTTAATCGAGAAAAATATTTAAACAGCCATGAATAATTGGGTACGACTGATAGTAAGTTGTGCTTGTTTTAGTGCCACCAACTACCAGAGGATCCTTGCCACCCTGACTCAGTCTGAGTATACCATAGCAAAATCCTCCAAAGTGTACCAGATGAATCTAAAGGAGCAGAACAACTACGACCAACTCAGTAACCAAATAGGTACACACTCCTACGTACCCATCACAGTTATCTCAAGTCACTTTATGTGAATAAGTACACACTGCTACGTACCAATCACAGTTATCTTTGTCACTTTATGTGAATAAGTACACACTCCTACGTACCAATCACAGTTATTTCAGCCACTTTATGGAAATAAGTACACACTCCTATGTACCAATCACAGTTATCTCAGCCACTTAATGTAAATAAGTACACACTCTTACGTACCCATCACAGTTATCTCAGCCACTTAATGTGAATAAGTACACACTCTTACGTACCCATCATAGTTATCTCAGCCACTTAATGTAAATAAGTACCCACTCCTACGTACCAATTACAGTTATCTTTGTCACTTTATGTAAATAGGTACACACTCCTACGTCCCAATCACAGTTATCTTTGTCCCTTTATGTGAATAAGTACACACTCGTACGTACCAATCACAGTCATCTTTGTCACTTTATGTAAATAGGTACACACTCCTCCGTACCAATAACAGTTATCTCAGCCCCTTAATGTAAATAAGTACCCCCTCTTACGTACCCATCATAGTTACCTCAGCCACTTAATGTGAATAAGTCCACACTCCTACGTTCCCATCACAGTTATCTCAGCGACTTAATGTAAATAAGTACCCCCTCTTACGTACCCATCATAGTTACCTCAGCCACTTAATGTAAACAGGTGCACACTCCTACGTACCAAGCACAGTTATCTTTGTCACTTTATGTAAATAGGTACACACTCCTAAGTACCAATCACAGTTATCGCAGCCACTTAATGTAAATAGGTACACACCCCTACGTTCCAATCACAGTTATCTCAGTCACTTAATGTAAATAGGTACACACTCCTCCGTACCAATAACAGTTATCTCAGCCCCTTAATGTAAATAAGTACACACTCTTCCGTACCCATCACAGTTATCTCAGCAACTTAATGTAAATAAGTACCCCCTCTTACGTACCCATCATAGTTATCTCAGCCACTTAATGCAAACAGGTACACACTCCTACGTGCCAATCACAGTTATCTCAGCAACTTAATGTAAATAAGTACACCCTCTTACGTCCCCATCACAGTTATCTCAGCCTCTTAATGTAAATAGGTACCCTCCCCTACGTGCCAATCACAGTTATCTTTGTCACTTTATGTAAATAGGTACACACTCCTCCGTACCAATAACAGTTATCTCAGCCCCTTAATGTAAATAAGTACACACCCCTACGTACCAATCACACTTATCTCAGCCACTTAATGCAAACAGGTACACACTCCTACGTCCCAATCACAGTTATCTCAGGCACTTAATGTAAACAGGTACACACTCCTACGTACCAATCACAGTTATCTTTGTCACTTTATGTGAATAGGTACACACTCCTACGTACCAATCACAGTTATCTCAGCCACTTAATGTAAATAGGTACACACTCCTACGTACCAATCGCAGTTATCTCAGCCACTTAATGTATATAAGTACACACTCCTACGTACCAATCACAGTTATCTCAGCCACTTAATGTAAATAAGTACACACTCCTACGTACCAATCACAGTTATCTCAGCCACTTAATGTAAATAAGTACACACTCCTACGTACCAATCACAGTTATCTCAGCCACTTAATGTAAATAAGTACACACTCCTACGTACCAATCACAGTTATCTCAGCCACTTAATGTAAATAAGTACACACTCCTACGTACCAATCACAGTTATCTCAGCCACTTAATGTAAATAAGTACACACTCCTACGTACCAATCACAGTTATCTCAGCCACTTAATGTAAATAAGTACACACTCCTACGTACCAATCACAGTTATCTCAGCCACTTAATGTAAATAAGTACACACTCCTACGTACCAATCACAGTTATCTCAGCCACTTAATGTAAATAAGTACACACTCCTACGTACCAATCACAGTTATCTCAGCCACTTAATGTAAATAAGTACACACTCCTACGTACCAATCACAGTTATCTCAGCCACTTAATGTAAATAAGTACACACTCCTACGTACCAATCACAGTTATCTCAGCCACTTAATGTAAATAAGTACACACTCCTACGTACCAATCACAGTTATCTCAGCCACTTAATGTAAATAAGTACACACTCCTACGTACCAATCACAGTTATCTCAGCCACTTAATGTAAATAAGTACACACTCCTACGTACCAATCACAGTTATCTCAGCCACTTAATGTAAACAAGTACACACTCCTACGTACCAATCACAGTTATCTCAGCCACTTAATGTAAATAAGTACACACTCCTACGTACCAATCACAGTTATCTCAGCCACTTAATGTAAATAAGTACACACTCCTACGTACCAATCACAGTTATCTCAGCCACTTAATGTAAATAAGTACACACTCCTACGTACCAATCACAGTTATCTCAGCCACTTAATGTAAATAAGTACACACTCCTACGTACCAATCACAGTTATCTCAGCCACTTAATGTAAATAAGTACACACTCCTACGTACCAATCACAGTTATCTCAGCCACTTAATGTAAATAAGTACACACTCCTACGTACCAATCACAGTTATCTCAGCCACTTAATGTAAATAAGTACACACTCCTATGTACCAATCACACTTATCTCAGCCACTTAATGTAAATAAGTACACACTCCTATGTACCAATCACAGTTATCTCAGCCACTTAATGTGAATAGGTACACACTCCTACGTACCAATCACAGTTATCTCAGCCACTTAATGTAAATAGGTACACACTCCTATGTATGACCTTTTCAATTTGTATTTTCAGAACAAAAGATAAAGGATGCAACAGAGAAGATTTCTGAATGCAAGAAGGAAGTTCAGCAAGCGAAAAGAATACGTAAAAACAGACAAGGTCAATATTTAGGCCTAGATCATGATAATGTTTTGACATTTTAAAAATGTAAATACCAGGTAGATAAGTAGATATAAACTTTATCTACTGAATATAAGTATATAAACTGGCAGAGAGCAGGTTACATACGATTTTGTCTACTGCCAATTAGCAAGTTAATTATGATTGTGTCCATTGCCCTATCAGCAGGTCTATCCAGGTTTCATGTATTTAATACAAGGAAGTATACTAAACCATCATGTTCTACTATAAGCAGTCACCTTTTTTGGTATTTCATATTTTAGGTAGTTGCATTAATTACTGCAGAACCACTTTATATGCAGGCAAAACATACAAATGTTTGAAGATGCCATTTGCAATTTTATCATCAACTGAATTCCAATGAACTTTTATTTTAGAGTATGATGCCCTGGCCAAGGTGATACAGCAACACCCAGACAGACAGGATACAACTAGGTAAGGGGAGACGACTAGATAGCCAGGTGACAACTAGGTAAGGGTAGACAACTAGATAGCCAGGCAACAACTAGGTAAGGGGAGACAACTATATAGCCAGGTGACAACTAGGTAAGGGGGAGACAACTACATAGGAGATAACTAGGTCATGGGGAGATGACTAGATAGCCAAGTGACAACTAGGTAAGGGGAGACAACTAGATAGACAGGGGAAGACAAGGTTGGGGAAGACAACTAGATAAACAGGTGATAACTAGGTAAGGGGAAGGCGACTAGATAGCCAGGCGACAGCTAGGTAAGGGGAGACACCTAGATAGCCAGGCGACAACTAGGTAAGGGGAGGCAACTACATAGGAGATAACTAGGTAAAGGGGAGAAAACTAGATAGACAGGAGATAACTAGGTAAGGGGAGACAGCTAGATAGGCAGGTGAAAACTTGGTAAGGGAAGACAACTAGATAACCAGCTGAAAACTAGGTAAGGGGAGACAACTAGATAGCCGTACGACAACTAGGTAAGGGGAGACAACTACATCGGAGATAACTAAGTAAGCGAAAAAACAAGATAGACAGGAGATAACTCGGTTAGGAAAGAAAACTAGAATGACAGGAGATATGACTAGTTAAGGGGAGACAACTAGATAACCAGGTGACAACTAGGTAAGGAGAGACAACTAGATAGACAGGAGTTAACTAGTTATGGGAAGACAACTAAATAACCAGGTGATAACTAGGTAAGGGAAGACAACTAGCTTACCAGGTGACAACTAGGTAAGGGGATACAATTAGATAGCCAGCCAACAACTAGGTAAGGGGAGACAACGAGATAGACAGGAGAAAATTTGGCAAGAGAAAACAACTATATAACCAGGTGACAACTAGGTTAGGGGAGACAACTAGATAAGTAGATGAAAACAAGGTAAGGGAAGTCAACTAAATAACCAGGTGGCAACTAGGTTTGGGGAGACAACTAGATAGCCAGGCGACAACTAGGTAAGGGCCAAGGGGAAACAACCAGATAGAAAGGCGACAATCAGGGAAGGGCCAAGGGGAAACAACTAGATAGACAGGAGACGATCAGGGAAGGGCCAAGGGGAAACAACTAGAGAGACAGGAGACAATCAGGGAAGGGCCAAGAGAAACAACTAGATAGAAAGGCAACAATCAGGGAAGGGCCAAGTGGAAACGACTAGATAGACAGGAGACAATCAGGGAAGGGCCAAGGGGAAACAACTAGATAGACAGGAGACAATCAGGGAAGGGCCAAGGGGAAACAACTAGATGGAAAGGCGACAATCAGGGAAGGGCCAAGGGGAAACAACTAGATAGAAAGGCGACAATCAGGGAAGGGCCAAGTGGAAACGACAAGATAGACAGGAGACAATCAGGGAAGGGCCAAGTGGAAACGACTAGATAGACAGGGGACAATCTGGGAAGGGCCAAGGGGAAACAACTAGATAGACAGGCGACAATCAGGGAAGGGCCAAGTGGAAACGACAAGATAGACAGGAGACAATCAGGGAAGGGCCAAGGGTAAACAACTAGATCGACAGGAGACAATCAGGGAAGGGCCAAGGGGAAACACCTAGATAGACAGGAGACAATCAGGGAAGGGCCAAGGGTAAACAACTAGATCGACAGGAGACAATCAGGGAAGGGCCAAGGGGAACCAACTAGATAGACAGGAGACAATCAGGGAAGGGCCAAGGGAAACAACTAAATAGAAAGGCGACAATCAGGGAAGGGCCAAGTGGAAATGACTAGATAGACAGGAGACAATCAGGGAAGGGTCAAGGGGAAACAACTAGATAGACAGGAGACAATCAGGCAAGGGCCAAGGGGAAACAACTTGATAGACAGGAGACGATCAGGGAAGGGCCAAGGGGAAACAACTAGATAGAAAGGAGACAATCAGGGAAGGGCCAAGGGGAAACACCTAGATAGACAGGAGACAATCAGGGAAGGGCCAAGTGGAACCAACTAGATAGACAGGAGACAATCAGGGAAGGGCCAAGTGGAAACGACTAGATAGACAGGGGACAATCAGGGAAGGGCCAAGGGGAAACAACTAGATAGACAGGAGACAATCAGGGAAGGGCCAAGTGGAAACAACTAGATAGACAGGAGACAATCGGGGAACGGCCAAGGGAAACAACTAGATAGAAAGGCGACAACCAGGGAAGGGCCAAGTGGAAACCACTAGATAGACAGGAGACAATCAGGGAAGGGCCAAGGGTAAACAACTAGATCGACAGGAGACAATCAGAAAACAACTAGATAGAAAGGCAACAATCAGGGAAGGGGCAAGGGGAAACAACTGGATAGACAGGGGACAATCAGGGAAGTGCCAAGGGGAAACAACTTGATAGACAGGAGACGATCAGGGAAGGGCCAAGGGAAAACAACTAGATAGACAGGAGACAACCAGGGACGGGCCAAGGGGAAACAACTAGATAGACAGGAGACAATCAGGGAAGGGCCAAGGGAAAATAACTAGATAGACAGGAGACAATCAGGAAAGGGCCAAGTGGAAACAACTAGATAGACAGGAGACAATCAGGGAAGGGCAAAGGGAAAATAACTAGATAGACAGGAGACAACCAGGGAAGGGCCAAGGGGAAACAACTAGATAGAAAGGAGACAATCAGGGAAGGGCCAAGTGGAAACAACTAGATAGACAGGAGACAATTGGGGAACGGCCAAGGGAAACAACTAGATAGAAAGGCGACAATCAGGGAAGGGCCAAGTGGAAACGACTAGATAGACAGGGGACAATCAGGGAAGGGCCAAGGGGAAACAACTAGATAGACAGGAGACAATCGGGGAACGGCCAAGGGAAACAACCAGATAGAAAGGCGACAATAAGGGAAGGGCCAAGTGGAAACAACTAGATAGACAGGAGACAATCGGGGAACGGCCAAGGGAAAACAACTAGATAGACAGGAGACAACCAGGGACGGGCCAAGGGGAAACAACTAGATAGACGACAGGAGACAATCAGGGAAGGGCCAAGTGGAAACAACTAGAGAGACAGGAGACAATCGGGGAACGGCCAAGGGAAACAACTAGATAGAAAGGCGACAATCAGGGAAGGGCCAAGGGAAAATAACTAGATAGACAGGAGACAATCAGGAAAGGGCCAAGTGGAAACAACTAGATAGACAGGAGACAACCAGGGACGGGCCAAGGGGAAACAACTAGATAGACGACAGGAGACAATCAGGGAAGGGCCAAGGGTAAACAACTAGATCGACAGGAGACAATCAGGGAAGGGCCAAGGGGAAACAACTAGATAAAAAGGAGACAATCAGGGAAGGGCCAAGGGAAAACAACTAGATAGACAGGAGAGAATCAGGGAAGGGCCAAGTGGAAACGACTAGATAGACAGGAGACAACCAGGGAAGGGCCAAGGGTAAACAACTAGATAGAAAGGCGACAATAAGGGAAGGGCCAATTGGAACCAACTAGATAGACAGGAAGACAGGAGACAATCAGGAAGGGCCAAGGGGAAACAACTTGATAGACAGGAGACGATCAGGGAAGGGCCAAGTGGAAACAACTAGATAGAAAGGCGACAATCAGGGAAGGGCCAAGTGGAAACAACTAGATAGAAAGGCGACAATAAGGGAAGGGCCAAGTGGAAACAACTAGATAGAATGCGACAATCAGGGAATGGCAACAAGTAGGGAATGGCCAAGGGATAACAACTAGGGAAGGGCAAAGGGGATCCAGATAACTAGATTGAAAGGGGACAACTAGTGAAGGCGAAACAACTGTATAGACTGGAGACACTAGGGAAGGGCCAAGGGGAGACAACTAGGTAGACAGAACACAAGGGAACAATGTATGGTCTTTTGGACTAAAAAGAGATTTTTTCATATAAAAATGTATGAAAAAAATAAAATATGCCTTGTAATTTATTCAAAATAAAAGAAGAATGTTTGATTGTGTTCTGTCAATGTTTTATTTGTAGTATTGTTTCTTATTTTCCAGACAGCTCCAGTGTTTGGACAAAGAAGTAGCCATCCTTGAGGAATCAAAGGAAACACTGGAACAAAAGGTGAGTTCACATGATTATCCTCGGCTTTTCAAATTTGTTTTCAGATTTTTCCACCTGTCTTCTGTACATTTTTATCCTGACATTTATTTCCTTAAATGTTGTTGGAAATCAGTGAGTTTCAGGATGTGTATGCCCTGACCAACTTCGGTGCTGAGTACAATCAATGCTTATTGAAATAGGTTATAGACCCCCTTGATTCTGACAGATTGATGAATTATGTACAATGTTTTCTTAAAATATTCAAACATTTTAGTCAAACTTCATAAGAGCAGGCATAATAATAATAATGATTAATATATCAAGGTTCTCATATACCTAGTTCGTAGGTCGTCTCAAAGCGGTTCACAAATTATTATCCGTGGTTATAGGGCCGGCCTTTGCCACCAGCCAATATCTTTCTCAACTCCCTGGGGAGAATACAGCCGGAGCTGCCATTTCGGCGCTAACAGCTAGCATTCAACAATTTTAGCGCTGCCCAACCACGTACTCATTTACAGCTGAGAAGACAGGAACAAGCAGAGTAAAGTATATTTCTCAAAGATACAACACAGTGCCGTGCTGTGACTCAAGCACTCAACCCTTCGGTCACGAGACCGGCGTCCTACCACTAGACTACCGTACCTCCTAATGATAATGCTAAGGCTAAGTTCGAAATATCAGTGAATTTTAAGTATGTTTACTTTGATTATGGGTATTTCTTGAAACTGTTTTAGGTGTTCACTAAAGCTGGTGAATGTTTGTCCAGGCTAAATGTGAAGTCTGGTGAAATCTATATATAGTTAATTGTTACCATGTTACTTTACACATAAGCACACCACTGACAAAAACCCATTAATCCTATCAGTTTACTTCTTTGTAGTCAAACAGTAATACATGTACATATCTGTTAATGGTCTCAATCTGTATGTTTTAAGCTGGACCTTAGGAGGAAGCAGTTCCACGTGCTGATAGCATCCATCCACGAACTGGAAAAGATCCTGGAAGGTATACATGTCTAAATGTCACCCTTCCCATCCATCTTCCTGTAGATATATAAGTCTAAAAAACACACTTTCCACCTGTCCTCCAACAGTTGCCTCCCCTGTAAATGAACAGGCAAAGATATCGCCTTCCCATCTGTCCTCTAACAGTTCCCTCCCCTGAAGATATACAAGTCTAAATATCACACTTTCCACCTGTCCTCCAACAGTTCCCTCCCCTGTAGATGAACAGGCAAAGATATCGCCTTCCCATCTGTCCTCTAACAGTTCCCTCCTCTGTAGATGAACAGGCAAAGTTATCGCCTTCCCATCTGTCCTCTATAACAGTTCCCTCCCCTGTAGATGAACAGGCCAAGATTGCCTTCCCATCTGTCCTCTAACAGTTCCCTCCCCTGAAGATATACAAGTCTAAATATCACACTTTCCACCTGTCCTCCAACAGTTCCCTCCCCTGTAGATGAACAGGCAAAGATATCGCCTTCCCATCTGTCCTCTAACAGTTCCCTCCTCTGTAGATGAACAGGCAAAGTTATCGCCTTCCCATCTGTCCTCTATAACAGTTCCCTCCCCTGTAGATGAACAGGCCAAGATTGCCTTCCCATCTGTCCTCTAACAGTTCCCTCCCCTGAAGATATACAAGTCTAAATATCACACTTTCCACCTGTCCTCCAACAGTTCCCTCCCCTGTAGATGAACAGGCAAAGATATCGCCTTCCCATCTGTCCTCTAACAGTTCCCTCCTCTGTAGATGAACAGGCAAAGTTATCGCCTTCCCATCTGTCCTCTATAACAGTTCCCTCCCCTGTAGATGAACAGGCCAAGATTGCCTTCCCATCTGTCCTCTAACAGTTCCCTCCCCTGAAGATATACAAGTCTAAATATCACACTTTCCACCTGTCCTCCAACAGTTCCCTCCCCTGTAGATGAACAGGCAAAGATATCGCCTTCCCATCTGTCCTCTAACAGTTCCCTCCCCTGTAGATGAACAGGCAAAGATATCGCCTTCCCATCTGTCCTCTAACAGTTCCCTCCCCTGTAGATGAACAGGCAAAGATATCGCCTTCCCATCTGTCCTCTAACAGTTCCCTCCCCTGTAGATGAACAGGCCAAGATATCGCCTTCCCATCTGTCCTCTAACAGTTCCCTCCCCTGTAGATGAACAGCCCAAGATGTTGCCTTCCCATCTGTCCTCTAACGGTTCCCTCCCCTGTAGATGAACAGCCCAAGATTGCCTTCCCATCTGTCCTCTATAACAGTTCCCTCCCCTGTAGATGAACAGGCCAAGATTGCCTTCCCATCTGTCCTCTAACAGTTGTAGATGAACAGGCCAATATTGCCTTCCCATCTGTCCTCTAAGAGTTCCCTCCCCTGAAGATATATAAGTCTAAATATCACCCTTCCCATCTGTCCTCTAACAGTTCCCTCCCCTGTAGATGAACAGGCCAAGATATCGCCTTCCCATCTGTCCTCTAACAGTTCCCTCCCCTGAAGATATACAAGTCTAAATATCACACTTTCCACCTGTCCTCCAACAGTTCCCTCCCCTGTAGATGAACAGGCAAAGATATCGCCTTCCCATCTGTCCTCTAACAGTTCCCTCCCCTGTAGATGAACAGGCCAAGATATCGCCTTCCCATCTGTCCTCTAACGGTTCCCTCCCCTGTAGATGAACAGCCCAAGATGTTGCCTTCCCATCTGTCCTCTAACAGTTTCCTCCCCTGTAGATGAACAGCCCAAGATATCGCCTTCCTATCTGTCCTCTAACAGTTTCCTCCCCTGAAGATGAACAGGCCAAGATATCGCCTTCCCATCTGTCCTCTAACAGTTCCCTCCCCTGTAGATGAACAGCCCAAGATGTTGCCTTCCCATCTGTCCTCTAACGGTTCCCTCCCCTGTAGATGAACAGCCCAAGATTGCCTTCCCATCTGTCCTCTATAACAGTTCCCTCCCCTGTAGATGAACAGGCCAAGATTGCCTTCCCATCTGTCCTCTAACAGTTGTAGATGAACAGGCCAATATTGCCTTCCCATCTGTCCTCTAAGAGTTCCCTCCCCTGAAGATATATAAGTCTAAATATCACCCTTCCCATCTGTCCTCTAACAGTTCCCTCCCCTGTAGATGAACAGGCCAAGATATCGCCTTCCCATCTCTCCTCTACCTACAACATCCCCTTAAAGTATACATGTCTAATTATCACCCTCTCATCCTTTCCTTGTCCCTTACATATACATCTTATGTAGGTTTATATTTCTAAATATCACCCTTCTTAAGTACTTATTGCCTGTTAAATCTCCTACAGGTTAGAGAAGACAATATGCTAGCTGAATACCATTGCCTGATTGTCAGAGGCTTCAATAGACATCACACAATTATTTGACCTTAACTGTTGCAAACATGTTAAAAAACACAATCAAATAAACAAACTGTCACTATTTATAAAGAAGAGTAGTTGCATGGTACTTCTATGAATGTCATATATATGAAGAAAGTAGTTTGTGTTTAAATTAAAAAAACAACTCCAGGTATCTCTGATTTGAAGAAAAAGATTTGCACTATAATGACTGATATTAAAACTCGTTGTTTATTTTTTCCCTGTAGACGATGAGAAGAAAGAATCCATGGATACAAGCTGATGATGTTATATTGACGTTACAATGAAATTGAGTGCTCTAGGATATGTGGGATTTGAGGAGAATGAATCGACTTTCTCAGTATATCTTTAAGAAAAACTCCTGGAAGCAGTGCCCTGTTTGGGATCTGTGAAGCATTGTATTACTGAATGGCCTCTCAGCAGACAAAGGATATATATTTTGTGTTAGTGTATCACAGCATCCTCCAAGTAACCACCAAAGGGAAATAACTCTTTATTCCTTAAATGGTATTGTGAAAAGAGAATGTGTACACAAGACAATGCTGAAACTTTCTAAATTGAAAAATATTAGTCTGCTTTATTCAGAAATATTCAGGCACATTTTTTGCAGGGATCAAATTACTGTTTCTGATTTTTTTGACCCCTAACCTCAAAAAGAAATATCTAGCCCTGATTTCTTCAGAATTTCAAGATTTTAGTTTTGCCAAAATTAGAAATATGGACTGTTCATACATGTTTCAATAAAAAACACAGTATATAAATGCATATATAGCAAAACTGTAGAAAACTGAAGTCCTAACTTTAAAGATTTAAGATTTTAGAAAATATTTATTTCAGTCTGCACTTTTTTTTTTCCTTCTAGAAATCAGGACCAGGATGGCTACCAGCTATTAATATGTCTAAAACTTGTCTAAACTGAATTAAGTTATGAATGAATGGAATTAAGTCATCAGTGTTTTTCATTTTTACAAACATTTTTTAAGTTTTGTTATCACAGTGAACATTCTCTCATATGTTTATGTTGATATTTGATGCAACAGGTAGTTTGTACTCTCATCCCCAAGGTAAAAGTTACTATTGTCATTTTGTAAATGTAAACTGTTCTTTTATGTTGAAATTGTTCACTGTTAATGACAGCGAAAATTATTTTTGTCAAATTCATTTCAGACAAGAAATGGGAAATAAAACGTAATTCTTGTAAATGTTGTTTGTCATTTTTAAGCTCACCTGGCATGAAGTGGTTGTGAGTCACCGTAACGGCACAGCCTCCATTCGTCATCCATCCATCCATCAACATTTTTCTTAAAACAAATTCTTCAGAACCATAAGGCTTCGTGCCATATTTGGCAGGTAGCTTACCGCAATGAAGGGCTTTAAAATGCATTCAAATAAATATCCTTGACCTTTGTCCAACGTCAGTGGTCAAATGTATTGAAAATTCAAACAATGACTGAAGTATGTCATGATGATAGCTTGTTTACTTGCTGAAATGACTGACACAGGAATTGTGTATCAAAACCTGCACATGACACCTTCTCAACTATTAAGGATGGATTCATTAGCTTGCTGGGGACTTACAAAGATTGTCCTAATAAATTATCTGAACCAAAATTCAAGGCCAAATGTGTTGAAGATTAGAAGTGTCCTGTTTTCAAGCATTTCAGCATTAATTATGAATTTTCCACATCGTCAAATAATAGTTGAGCAAAGCGGGCCCCCTGAACATAATGTTCAATTTCTCTGTCTAGAGTAACAATTGTAACAAACTGCAAATTAGTTTCTAAAATATTGGCAATAAAGAAGTGCATATCATAAAAGAAAACGCATTGATGAGATCAAATAAGCTCAAACAGTGTTAGAAACTTTTTGATAAAAAATGGCTGTTTCTATTGGTTTAAAAAGGTCCTGTCCTTGTGACAACAATTTGCCAGTAAAACTTACCTACTTGTTATATAAATATACCCATTGTAGTGGTTATAATATTTTTCCTGCTAATTTAAAGTTCTGCAAGGATGTGAACAGCTAATAATTATATTATTAAAACATGTGTAGATTAACTATAACATAAATGGTCATTGGATCTTAGGGTATCATTTGTTATTGTCACAGTATTATTGTAGGTTAAAGAAGCTGTTGAACATCTAACTTGTATGATTGAGGCTTTCAGAGCCCTTGCCAGTGAAAATATTTTCACACCGTGATCAGTTTAGGGGTCACATTGCAAACATTTCCACACAGACAATTTCTACTTTACAGTTAAATTGCAGCACTCAACAATAAATATTATCCCAAATCTTGAGATTTTCTTAATTAAAAGAATTAATGATTGAATTTGTTTTGAAGATTCATTGTATTACTTACAAATTATAACTATTTAATCGAATCAATGATCTCTGTAAAATTTCACAAAAATATGAAATTTGATCAAACAGTTCTTTTATCAAAGAAATCGTAGATACATTTATGATGAAGATTCATTGTACGTTTCAAACGATGAAAAAAAATATCAGTTTTATCAGTGATCTCGTTGAAATAAAGAGAATTCACAATAAAATAGTCTTACTTCATATTTAATACAGTAGAATCCACATGTCATACTGAACATATTAAGATTAGATAATATATTGAAACAAGGAACATCGGCTACCATTCACAAAATAAGAGCAATTTGTAATTAGTTATCTCCCTTAGGAAGGCTGGCGTGGTGTTTTTTTTGGTGGGGGGGGGTAATGCCCTCTAAATCATCAAATTGTACTTGTCAACCAGCTGACAAAGTACCAAAATACATACTGTAGCTTATTCATTTGGTCCCTGTTCATTTTTATAACAAGTTTTGATGTATTATCAAGAATTGGTTTATTAGTTGCATTTTCTTGTGTGCAACTGACTTAGGATTCAGGAAAAAATACATATTTATAGGATGACAGGTTAGATTTCCAGGCTAGGTTTCCATTTTCTCCAATCTATTTCAAACTTCCTTCTTATGTAGCTGTTTTTACTATTGTTAATATAGTTCTGAACAAGGAAATGGTCTTTGATGACATTGATAAGTGCATTGAGACTCAAAGATTTATGAAGACATCTAGTCTTATATATATATAGTCTGATAAGAATTAAAATTTCATTATCAACAGTACTCGCTCGTGGTGATAATATTCCAAAAAGTAATGATTCTTTATTTATTAAAATAGGGATTAGAAGAATGTCACAAAGAGTTTCAAGTCTCTGCAGTAGTCCCTGCACTTCTTGACATTCCCATAAACAATGAACTATCTATTCTCTAATATTGATTTTATCCTATGAGAAATTACTCCAGAAGCTATTTTATATGTGATGTTCAAAAGTGAAATTGGTCTCCAGTTTTTCAGAAAATGACGTGGCTCGTCTCCCTTTGGAATACATGTTATTATACCTTGTCTTTGTGTGACCACGGAATTAGAATATCTAAGTCCGTGGTGTGACTGAGAGCTGACCAACTAAAAGACTATAATTAATGCCTAAACACCTTAATATTTCCAAAATGCTTTAAAATATTCTGCCACAAAACCATCAGACCCTGAACTCTTAGTAATGGAATAAATATATAATAATCAAAGGCGTAGCAATCTACGTATATATACCGGTCCGACCGATTAAATGAAAGCGAGCTAAATGCGATAACAGTCAAAGGGAAATAACTCTACGCAATACGCGCCACTAATCCCAGTGCAAAATGAAAATGGAGGAGAGAGCAGGCGGAAGAGATTACTTCTGAACTTTCATTTTTCTGTTAGGATGGCGAGCTTGACAACCGAAATCAACCGTTTCAACAGTTGTTCTAAGAGACTACAGATCATCTTAGACGATACAAAACGATGCTTTGATGACATAAATGAGTCGGGAAGGTCAGAAGCTGGTGAGTAAGGTGACATAGAGGGTCACAAGATACAGACGTAGTTTCATAGATTAAAAGTTGAGAAGGGTACGCGTAACATTTCGTCTAAAGTACCATCGTACTAAATTTCATTAATATAGGGCTAATAACTAGATTTAAATTAGAATTAAGCTTTGCGTTCTGATTTCATGCTATGAGATAAAGATGTCTGAACAGGAAAAGTGTTTGGTGACCAAGGTTTGACAGTGTGACGTTTGTGACACATGGTTCTCTTATCTTATCAAGATGAGGATGATTTCATGTATTGTTGTATCTCTTGCGTCAATGCTTTTCCTTTGTGTTATAATCAGGTACAATGCAATTTATTTTATTTCGGTACATGCAGTCAAAATCTAAATGTGGCATACAACCACAGGTGCAGCATGAGTGGACACACGAAAACATTGGTGTGTACATATAATGATATATACTATTTTATATTCTACCTTTGCGTGTCTAACACCTATTTTGTAAACCTGCATTAGGTCGATGACTTGTTGCAAGGTAGCCATCAACTGTTCAAGGTCCCTGGTTCTAATGCTGCCCGGCATTTTTCCTTTCGTGTTTCACCCAGATTTGGTCATGCATGGTGTCAGCAAAATATACTCGCAGAAATGGATCTAGGTTCGTGCGTGTACTTAAAGCTTGATTTCCACAATTTTGTTGAAAGATTGTAAGAGGGAGGAATATAGTGGATCTGTTTTTGGTTCATTGCCAGTGATCCAGTCATTGTAGTCCAGATCCACTGTACATAAAACTGAAAAATACATTGAAAATCTATAATTACTGTTATCATTTTGTGTGATATAAGACAGTATGCAAATTAGGCATGCAGTGTCACATGATTTTCTTTCCCATTTTAGGACAACAAGATTATGTACAGGGAAGATGTCAATTGGATTCCGTAAAACTAACTAATGTACAAGGTGTAAAGTTTTGTAACTGTAATTTGTAAGAGCTTTCAGGTGACAGTTGCTTACTTATCAACCTTTCAAATCTTATCATGTGGAAAAATTTGTGCCACAATCTACCAGTTAATAGAGTAATAATGTCTAAAATTACTTACAATGACCCCTATTTTGGAAACTAATTGTGTAAGTCAGGGTGAACATTTTTGCCATTTTTGCACATATATTGAATTTCAAAATTTGCATCATTATTATTTAAAACTTCATTCATGTTGTTTAAAAGTAGTCTTATAAGACCAATTCTATATCCTACCCTTATAACCCTGTACCAATGTCAGCCCTCAGACTTTCCAGGCCCTCGGCCTGATTTCTCAATGGGCGTCTCTGGTAGATAATTGTAAGGGGTAAGATATACTGAAATGGTCATATGAACCTTTTGAAGTATGTTAGGACAACAATCTGTGAGCATTTCTGGTATTTTTATTTCCATTTTCAGGTCAGCTGTTTTCAGCGGAGCTTCTTCAGGAGGAAGAACAAGAAATACTAGCCACAGCAAGAAAACCTCCAGGCATTGTCATTTTTGGACAGAATGCTTACTGCAAGTCCTGTGTGGTTAACGAGATATTCAGCCGAAACATTTTCCCTAGATTCGAAAACGGAGACATAAATGGAAATAATCGTATGGTTCAGTTCAAATATGGAAGTAATCTGTCTGTTGGTTTATCACTTCCAGACGGTTACGATCTTGCTGAAAATTTAGAAGCCTATAAAAGACCTTGGAGTACAATACCCATAGAAGACATTGAGATTTCAGAGAACCCCAGTTTAGATGGGGCTAACGGAACAGCTGTGTTGGAAGTGTCGATCAATCACTCGATGCTCCGACACGGAGCAAAGGTCATTGTGTCACCCTCAATGAATGACTCCGGGAGTGACCTGGAACAGAAGTACAGTAAATGCTGTGAGAAAGTCTCGCCCATTCTCCTGTTTGCATTCCAGACACAGGAACTTACAGAAAACGTAGGTTTTTGATATTTCAAGTCGAGGGGAAAAAGTTAAAGGGCTGTGTCAGATTTCCTATTACAAATCTGATATTTCAGACTTTGAAATGTTATTTTGTTTAGAAACAGGAAAAAGTATGCAGATAAGTACATGCAGGAAGGGGTGTTCAATTCATATTTAGATTATAATTACTAGCAGGCAGGTTATGTAAACTTATACTAGTTCAACCTATATTTTCATTGGTACAATGCAGGAAGGGGTGTTTATTGTTTAATTCATGTTTATATTATATTTACTAGCAGGCAGGTTATGTAAACTTGTACTAGTTCAAACTATATGTTCATTGGTACATGTATGAAGAGGTGTTCATGGTCAATCCATATTTAAATTACTAGCAAGCAGGATACATAAACTGACAATAGTTCAACCTATATTTCCATTGGTACATGCATGCAGGTAGGGGTGTTCACTTCATATTTAAATTACCAGTAGGCAGGACATGTAAACTAATACTGTAATAGTTTATTCTATATTTTCATTGTAAATATTGAAAATTTCAGTAGCCTTGACATTTGTACTAGTCCCATCCCCATGCATCGGGCTACTGGACTTGTACTGAATATTTTTTATTTACCTGGTACTGTATAACGATCGTTGTCAATCAATCTAGAATTTCTGGGAAGCGACATGTATATCTTACTTCTAAAATTAGATCACACCTGTTACATATTTGTCACACATTTCACATACAACACGGTGTTGCCTACATTTGGTGAGCTACTCTACGTATAACTTATATAACTAGCACCAACAGAAACATACAAGAATACATAAACATATTTCACCAATTCACCCCTGGATTTTAGCAATAAACTGTACAATTCGTCATCTTGGAAGAGTCTTAATATGACTTCAGAAGTCAATGAGTTAATAGTGACAATTTTATCTATAATCTGATATCTTCCCCTGTGGTTGAAATTTTCACGTTGGCAAATGTTCCGAAATCTTGATATTCTATATATATCTGTAATTTATATACATATTTCCATGTGGAAATCTTCATGCTAATTTACTCAACCTGAAAATCTTTAGCATTTCCACTTCGGGATAATTTTTTACGATAATCTTTTACAGTATTTCATGATTTACAACCTGTTTGGTGTTCTAATGAAAACCCACCAACAATCACGTCTCACTCCATACATCTCTTTTCAAGTAATTTCTAATTTCTCTCTCCACTCATTTAAGATTGACATTGTGTGCTACTGATGGACTGGGATGAACCCTGCCGACCTGTCAGTGTTTAATTTTCGAAAGAAATTCATCTTTCCCTGTTGTAGGAAAACAGACCACTACCCCTTTTCTTCATAGAAATTTGACAATATGATATAGATATAAAAATACAGTCAGAACAATTAGTTCATGATAAGATGCAGCAGTAATGCAACTCAGCAAATACTCTTCATGAACATGTCCAATTAATGGATGTTTGAAAAACCAAATCTGATGCCTGCATGCTTCTTTCACAGTTTTCTTTTTCTACTTCAGGATTTAAGTTTTCTGAAGAAATTACAGACAATAAGTCATTACCAGCCTGTGTGTTTCGTTGGGGTAAGTACAGAAAAGTCAGATTCTAGTGATGGAAGCAGGACTACAGAAAAAAATCTCAATGCCAGTAAACAAAAACTGGAAGCAGGTTGCAATGGTTCTATAGAGGACCTTGATGACCATGAAAACCAGAACCATTTGACTAATATTGACGAACCGAATTACTGTGTATCTCCAATGTCGTCGCCGCTGTCAAGTGTATGCTCCAAAGGGACGTGTAAGGGACGTGTGATATTGACATCTTCTTTAGTATTTCATCAACTCTGTGATATTGGCTATCTGAGCGAAAGTCCAGGTAGTAGAAACCTCACCAACACAATGGCCACTGACTACTACGAGGTCGATAGTGAACTTATCGATAATTTCGCATCGTTTCCCTCCAGGATTGTGTACTTCGTCCAGCAAACAATTCAGCGGTACCTCGTGAATGCGGCTACTGTCCTGAACAACTGTCACGAACGATCTCTAAATATGTTTATCGTTTCTGCATTTGACATGGCACGAGACATGATGATCACTCCGAAAAAATTAGAATTTGCACGAGGGAAGGAGACAGAGTTGTATAAATCTCTGATGAAGATCTCTGTAGAGAAGGGTGACGAGATTAAATTGATGATATCGGAGACTATTCAGAGTATTCACCAGAGTTTAGTCGACAAAGCAGCACAGTACGAGTTTCTAGGTAAGGTAACCTGTTTGTTTTCTCTCTGTTGTCGTGGAGTAACGTTAACTCTATATCAGTACTGTATAGTGGTTATATTTCGCGGGGATTTTAATTTCGCTATATTTGCGAAGTGACTAATATCCGCAAATTCTAATATAAACACCAGTGAAATTATCGAAAAATGTTATCCACTTTTACAGACCTTATCACAACATGTTGAACATACTTCTAACCCAACGCTGTTATACATATATGCAAGCTTTTAAAAATGAACCCAAATCAGATTATCACTGGACAACTGGGCAGTCAATGTAAACACAACACTTACATATAAGTTGCCACAACATATGTATGTGTACACAGTAGGTGATTAATTGATTACAGTTTACTCCTACCAGGTACATACACATATGATTTTTTTTCAAATGAAATCACTGGCGGATGGCGATGCTTGGGATCAGAGTTTTCAAACGGTTTACCTATATTTCGAGGTTTAACCCTTAAATGATGACACTCAAAATACTTTGCACGACACATGTAATTCGGGTGCACAGCAAAATTTAACCCCTGCGAACATGTACTGAATACGAAACTGTGAAATATTGACCCTGCAAATTTTAAGCGCTATACATTAATTCTTTTGGCCTAGTTTTACAGCCAAATACAAACTGCTTCCACTAGCTACACACTGCTTCCCCTAGCTACACACTGCTTCCCCTAGCTACACACTGCTTTATTTTCACAAAATGAACAAAACATGAGGAACATCTTTCTAATTTCAATAAAAATAGTGTCTTATTTTGCCAATTCATGTAGGAACAGGCTGTTGTAAAATATAAGTAGAAAAAACAATGTATATATGTTATGCTGTGTGCTGATAATTCGCTGTCATGATGATCGATGAATTCACCCTCATAAGGGACAGAAAAATATGTGTTACTTCATCTACAGCAAACATTTAATGTTACAGGGCATTTTGAATTTGAATGATAAGATATATATATATAATGCACAGCAGCGGTTTGTATTTTACTTGTAAAAAAATTGCACATTCATGATCATCAGTCAGCGTGTAGAATATAAATAAATAGGGATGAATACAAAATTCGTGTACAACCTGCTCTTCCTCTTAAATTTTCAACCGTTTACCTTTGATGCTAGGTATTAAACTTTGACTCATAAAAATTAATTTACTGTAAAATATGTATACACGATCACAATAATTTCTGTAGCCATGCAGTAATGACTGCATGGAGTGAAATTTCTTGCAATCTCACCAGCAAAATTGTTTCACCTTTATGGAATCCAACAACTGTTCACTACATTTTATGTATGAGGTCATGTAATGCTTATTTGGACCATAACTAAACCAACAGCTAATATATGGAGATTGATATCAAGAGAGACACCACTGAAAAAAATGTGTAGAGGAAAGAGAAGAGATGGTATAGTGGGTAATAACAGATCAGTTCTGGTTACTTCATTGTCCCATATAAGTCATCCTCGATATCCAGGGATTACGCTCACTTTCGCTCTTTACACCCCTGGAATATGTGTCATAGCAAAATTGAAGGCACAAAGATAGCTGTTTGATTGGTTTCAGGTAAAAAAAAAAATGACCAATCGCTAGGCTGATACATGTCCTTTGAAAATTACAAAGGAGAGACACCCGACTTCAAAGCCTGTCAATTTTTACTGTTTTGTGACTGGGAGATTCTTTTGATGTATATCAAAGGATTGAACTAGTCTTCTTGTCTCATAAACAAGGTGGCACACACTGACCCTTCGATTTTGCTATGCCATATTCCAGGGGTGTAGACAGCGAAAGTGAGCGTAACCGCTGGATATCGAGGATGACGTAATCCCTGGATATCGAGGATGACGTAATCCCTGGATATCGAGGATGCATATAAGTAGACGGCACAAGAGAACCAACGTACCACATTAGTAGCCTCATACAATCATCCAGAGGGATACAGCAGGGTCACTTGTTCCTAGGACTTGTATGGGAGAGATACTTCCACAGAGGTACAACATACCGTGTCTAGTGGAAGTATCACATAGTACTCTCAAGTACATACAATTGTACATGAAAACCTAGTCAGAACAAGAAGTCAAAGGTCAAGTCGTTGTAATGTACCAAAACATCAAGGTACATAAAGGTGTTTTTTGGCACATCACATCTTGTGGCAGGCACTGGACATGGCCATGGAGGAATGGGGGTATCATAGTAAATCCTATAGTTTGTTGCTAACCTAATTTTTTTTCTCCATTTTTCACCATACGCCTACAAAACCAAGTGTTTTGTTGATGAGTATAACTTGATATTCTGACCGCCATGTCCTAACTTAAGTAGCCATGCTCCTTGTCAAGTAAGCACTGAAACCAATCCCTTACCTCCATGTCAGATATACTAACAATTGTTTACACCGTTATGGAAATATTCCAATTATTTTTTTCGTAGGAAAATTCTGTTGCAGTAACGTCAAATCTTTTCAATTACCCTTCAAAACAACTTACAAATTAGACATTATAAATCTGTACGCTATCCTTTGTAAGTGACACAATGAAGACATCAGATACCTGTCACTAGGTTGTTTGCATTATGTCAGAATTAAGTGTACTTCCTTATCACTTGAATTGAAGTGTGTTATAATATAACCTTGAATGTAGATGTGGATTGCCAGGTAGTACATATCGTAATCGGTGCACTTTATTCATTTCTTTTCAAGTACACTTTGTCAAAGTAAATTACACAATGTATTTATCACATATCCAATATATTGACATATATGTATCACAATTTTCCTTTGATATATTTAGACATTACCCTTGTTCTACCCTACTGTTGATGTTACAATTATTTAGTTAGTACTATCTTGTTTCAGAGCTTTTTACATCATATTTTAACTCATTCACCCCTTAAATTTCATAATGAACTATTCAAACCTTTGAATTGGAAGAGTTCAATTGTGTCTCCAGGGGTGAATGAGTTAAATAACGTGCTAAATTATGATTACATTAATTGAATTTTCTGTATATTGTTTTCTATTGCATATATTGTGGATGTGCCTATTCACGAATGTGATAATTCATCAATGCACTAACATGAACAAATTTGATTTTGCGCTACAATTTGATCATGAGTGCGCTTCAATAAGAATTTACAATTACTCTCTTGTATCATGGGAGCTGATGATAGATTAATGGTAGCAAATGTCACTGTGGTAGCAATTTGATTGTGATGTGCATGCATTCCACTGCTATCAAGTACATTTTCACATGTATACAAAAACCTTGTGGACAAGGTTAGATAGACATTGTGAGGGAATCGTGTATGGTCTAGACATGATTACGAACTCCTGGTCAAGGTCAACAATGGTGATAGTAGGGCTAAGTGACAGATCAACAGTCAGTTATTACCCTCAGTCCTCTGGAGTGTGGCCACCATGGGTTCGTCAGACAGATACTGCCAGAGTCGCCAGAAACTTTACAAAGGACAGAACTTCTTCCTATATATTTATATCTACAGGGGTCCGAGTAATATTCCCTTTCAAACTAAGATTTTTTTATTTTTGAATTTTTAGCTATGTACAGGGGCCAAAAATGTCACCTTTTAGCTTATCTATAATTGGCAAAAAAATCTATTTCCTAGCTTATACAAGGGTCAAATAATTCTTCCTTTCCTAAAAGGAAATAACCTCTATTTTCCCGGATTTGCAAAATATAGATAATAACATATTTAATGCATGATAATTTCAAGATCTTGGAAAATTGAAGTTCAACTGTATACATCCTGATCAAGAAATGGAATTACCTTAAAGATTAAATTCTAAATTTTACTTACCTATATTCAAATATGTTATGTTGATAAATGATATAATCCAAATCTTAGGCCAGGTTTCTTTTCCGTAACTAGCTAGAGAATGCCTGGAAGTTAAAGGGTCTTCAAAATTTGTAATTGTCATGGAATTGAAGGGTTGTCCAGCTCTTTGTTGGAGTACTAGCCCTGAAAATGTCTACATTAAGGTGTGGTCTATCACTGAATTAAGCATTGTTTTTACTGGTGTTGAAGTATGGTAAAAAAAAATCTTTTTTGGGTTCAGTGATTGCAGTTTTTGGGGTTAAAGGTTTTCTGTGAAAAGTACAAGCCACAAAATTTAATAGTAAATGAATCTAAATCTTACCATAGCAAAATGGCCATGGACACTTAATATGAAACTCACAAAAAGGATAAATCCTGCAAAATTTACCATTTAAAAAGCAAATCTTATGAAACAAAAAGACTTTCACAGATTTGATTAAGCATTTTTTTCACAGGTGTATAGTATCGTTTTCTAGAAGTATAGATTATCATTTGACTGGGCATTGTTTTACAGGTATAAACTAATGTTTTTACAGGTGTAGACTTTGACGAGCAGAGTGTGATATTGACCACCAAGGGCCTGAAGATATGTACGTACCAGATACAGGAACTAGTACTGGGCGCGCTCAACCAGGCCATCGCCGGCAACCTGGTCCGATCAGTGGATGTCCTACGGGATACATACACAGGTAATCATTAACTTACCTGTAAAAGTAACCAAACTTAACCGTTTTGTTTATGATTTTGTTTATATGTCAGTTCGTAAAATTAATGCTGATGGAAAGTTTTCATTTATGTTGCAAATCAGGAGAGGCTTTTCAGGTATTGAATGAAGATCAAGAACTGTAGTAGAACTGCACAATGATTTTAGAGTTCATGGTCGTGAAGAAAGAAAAGTTATGGACACATAAGTACAGGTGACACATGGTTTAGTGATGATAAAACAGATTTATCAGCTGATTCATAAAAAATCTATTACACAGAGGCAGAGATAAATGTATCCAGCTAAGGGAAGCTATCTACCTCATGACTTTTATTCTTACATTCAATTTTAAGGAAAAGTTGTTTTTATTTTAGTTACACAAAATCTGTAGAAGGACTGTTGTGTTAGTTATACCTGACTGACCTGTGGTCAGTAGTGTAAAGATCTAGAGGTCAATAACGTACAATGACCAACAGAACACTCAACGACCTTCAACTTTAATGATAAAACTGTCGGTCGGCAAGGATATGTCTATTGTTTGTTTCAAAGTCCAGACAGACTTAAGTTGTAGGAAAATGTCATTCTTGATTGAAGTAGTAATAGTTTTTATTTAAAAAAACAAACAAAAAAAACCAACTTTTGAATAACATTTAAAATGTAGGAAGTTAATTATAATTTAGCTTGGTAAGAGAAGGTTAAGTGATATATCACGGCTCAATATATGATGGTGGTGGAGTACACACAAGACGTAATTCGTGTGAAAAACATAAAACTTTATGATAAAAATGCTGGCAACCTGTCAGTGTGTTAAATCGAAGATCTCTGTAAAGATGTGTTTACTAGATAACATATAAAAAAAAAATATATACACTCTGTCAAAAAAGAAACGTGAACACTACTTAAACTGAGATAAATTTATCTTTATTCATTGAAGTGTTGGTTTATTAATTTCTCGAAAATCATGAAAAAATATGCAGTGCTTTTATTAGATGGTGGGCTAATCGCCCTTCATTGTGGTCCATGGTTTGTCTTGCCTGTCCACTTTCGTCACTGCTATTTCTCAGAGACTATTGCAGGGATCTTTTGCATATCTTGTGCATATTAAATTTTTGGGACAGATCCTTAAACCAAGATGGCCAACAGTTTAAAGAGTTTTCAGTCGTTATAGGGTGTATATATATATTCACTCCAAAATATTTATACAAAGAAAGTGTCTTAATTTACCAACATAGAACAGAAGGCGTTAACTTTTCATTTTTCACATAGTATGTACGTGTATATAAATACTTAATGTCATTAGACCCTTAGTTTAAATATTATCAATTTCACTACTGCTATCTTTGATTGAGAGTCAACAGGATTAGGGTTACGTATAGATAATAATAATAATAATTCAAGGTTCTTATATACCGCTTTATCACAATCTAGTTCGGAAGGTCGTCTCAAAGCTGTTCACAAATTATTATCCGTGGTTATAAGGCCTTTGCAACCAGCTTTGCATTATCTTTCTCAACTCTCTGGGGAGCATACAGCCTGTGCTGCCATTTCGGCGCTCACAGCTAGCTATCAACAATTCTAGCATTTCCCAACCATGTACTCATTTACAGCTGAGTAGAGTATCTTGCTCAAAGGTGCAACACAGTGCCGTGCTGTGACTCGAACCCGCAACCCTTCTGTCACAAGCCCGGCGTACGTCCTACCACTAGACTACCGCGCCTCCTTAGAGAATGGTGCCTGAACAGTCTAGCTGCTCTTGTTCTAAGGAGACAATCCTGCCACCTTTATTTCCAGTTGATAATCGAGCCATCTTTACTCAAAGAAGATAATCCAACCACCTTCATACACAGTAATTACTCCAACCACCTTGATTTCTAGTAGATATAACAGCCACCGCGGTAGGTGTGATTTTACTGTCACGATTGCTTTCTTTACCTTGGGTGATATTTATGTAAGTGTGCTGAGATGGATAACAGATAGGGTAAACTTGTATTAATGTTTATGATGGATTTGGTGATAGGTGTATTTGTGACAATATGACATTGCCTTGGTTGTGTAGACACCTTATACACATTATACCTCCCAGTGGTTACCATTGATAACATACACAGGAGTCACTTACTTGAAAATCCTTGACATTTGTATATAGAGCATCATTGAAGTTGATGTTGTAGATATAAAAAAAAAGTTTATTAGAAGACTTAATAAAAAGGTGAAATGAGCTAAAAATGTGTTTCCACTGAATAATCTTGACATTTTTAGACAGAGGTAGTCAGTAATTCTTTATATACCTAATATAGGGGTCCTCATTTGTGAAATACTATTTTAGACAAGAGGTCATTTATATGACATTGAATGGAACAAAACACTGTGAATGCAGCTTCTATGCATAATCAGTATTGATAAGTTCTGTAATGCAAGATAGAAATTAATATTTCTGAATTTAATAAATCACTTCCTGGAAAAAAGGATTGCTGATGCAGGAGAAGGTGTGATCCTCTTGATATTGTCGGGAGCTAAGTAGTTTGACAAGAATTATAATATAATAAGATAATACATTGTACTAGACCTTTCCCTATACACATCATAATAAAATAATACTGAACATATTTTTTTTTATCCCATAGATATATAAAATTATATACATTTATGCTGGGGTGGGGAATGGGGTGGGCAGTGCAGAACAGTTGGCTGGCCCGAATTTTTTTTTTGGGCGAGTACAAAAAATATTCCACAGGCCCAAAATGAATATTGGTAGCCCAAATATTTCACTAAAAAAAAAATCAGTGTTGAGCAACACAAAATGCCAATAAAACAATATAAATAGATGTTTTTTATTCTTCAATTAAACCCTCTTTGTATCCGTTGACGTTGACGGGGTTCTTTTTAAAACTCCCCAGCCCTTGTTTGCGTCCGCCATATTGACCGGTACTGTCTGTGTCAATTCTGAGGCACTTGCACGTTTTAACGGGGTGACCCAGACTCTTGAGAGTACAGGATTTCCGAAGTTGGGGTGGTTAATTTATGGTAGTAAACTACGATTTTGAGAATAATAATGTACTCGCCCAAAGATATATTTTTGGGCCAGTAACATCCATCTTTTGACAATTTCTAGTCGCCCAATCAAGGTGACCGGCTGTGTCCAGTGCTGGTGGGGCTATATATATACAATTATAAATAAAAGCATCAATAGTCTTTGTGATGGTAAAAACAGTAAAAAAAAAAAAAACATCCCCTGATGAAGGAGGTACGGTATTCTAGTGGTAGGATGCTGGGCTCCTGACAGAAGGGTTGCGGGTTCGAGTAACGGTACGGCACGGCACGGCACTGTTGTATCTTTGAGCAAGATACTTTACTCCGCTTGTTCCAGTCTACTCAGCTGTAAATGAGTACATGGTTGGGCAGTGCTAGAATAAATTGCTGAATGTGAGCGCCAAAATGGCAGCTCTGGCTGTATGCTCCTCAGGGAGTTGAGAAAGATGTTGGCTGGTTGCAAAATCTCTAGAACCACGGATAATAATTTGTGAACCACTTTGAGATGACCTACGAACTAGGTTGTGATAAAGCGGTATATGAGAACCTCGAATTATTATTATTATTATTACGTTTTGTATTATGAATCTCTAACAAGACAAATGTGCTAGGGAGCTGTTTTCTATATATAAATTTTTAGATCAAATAACAAATTTGTATAGTGCTTATAGTAATATACGACAGTTTTTTTACAGAAATCAGTACACTGGTACATCCTATTACAGTTTCTGATAAAACCTTAGTTACACAAACATTGGTTGTGATACTATGTACGTGTCGTTATGTTGACTCACGCACTGTTACTGATCACTTCATCAGATTTTATTGGAAAACACTTCAACAAGGAAGTTCTTACTGATGAATTAAAACATTTGACCGTGAGATTGACCAAGAAGGAAGTTTATTGTGGAAGTATTTACAGGGATTCACTGTGTACGGTATTACAAGGTAGAGGGTTGATTTGATTGGTTACTCATTATCAAATGGTCCTACGCTGTGATGTTTGATCCTGTTCTGTGACCTTTGATTGGGTACTCATAATCCATTGTTCTGTATTGTGATTGTGTTGCACTATTGATATATTTTGTCAAATTAGTGATACACAGTGTCATAAATAGAATTTCCATTTATTTTCATGATAATTAATGCCTGTTCTATTTCATCTTGTGGAATTAATATTTTTCTGCCTTTACAAAAATAAATTACATAAGCTTCACACTCATGAAAGTACCAATCCTTAACAATGAAATATATATGGCAATCATCAAGAAATGAAGAAATAGCATTTTTCTATCATTTTGATATGCCAGATGCATATATGGATATGCTCCACATACTGGCTTCCTTAGAGTTCGTGATGTCTATGATCAATTTCTGATAAAAATCAGCAGGTAATTAAATCTGTTATTAATCTTCAAAATTGATTTATTGATTATTAGCTCACCTGGCACGAAGTGCCAAGTGAGCTTATGCCGTGGCGCGGCGTCCGTCGTCCGTCCGTCGTCCGGCGTCAATATTTTACTTTAAACGACTTCTTCTTAATAACCGAAAGGCCTAGGGTGTCAATATTTGGCCAGAAGCAAACTTGGATGAAGGNAAGATAGAAATTAATATTTCTGAATTTAATAAATCACTTCCTGGAAAAAAGGATTGCTGATGCAGGAGAAGGTGTGATCCTCTTGATATTGTCGGGAGCTAAGTAGTTTGACAAGAATTATAATATAATAAGATAATACATTGTACTAGACCTTTCCCTATACACATCATAATAAAATAATACTGAACATATTTTTTTTTATCCCATAGATATATAAAATTATATACATTTATGCTGGGGTGGGGAATGGGGTGGGCAGTGCAGAACAGTTGGCTGGCCCGAATTTTTTTTTTGGGCGAGTACAAAAAATATTCCACAGGCCCAAAATGAATATTGGTAGCCCAAATATTTCACTAAAAAAAAAATCAGTGTTGAGCAATACAAAATGCCAATAAAACAATATAAATAGATGTTTTTTATTCTTCAATTAAACCCTCTTTGTATCCGTTGACGGGGTTCTTTTTAAAAATCCCCAGCCCTTGTTTGCGTCCGTCATGTTGACCGGTACCGTCTGCGTCAATTCTAATGCACTTACACGTTTTAACGGCGTGACCCAGACTCTTGAGAGTACAGGATTTCCGAAGTTGGGGTGGTTAATTTATGGTAGTAAACTACGATTTTGAGAATAATAATGTACTCGCCCAAAGATATATTTTTGGGCCAGTAACATCCATCTTTTGACAATTTCTAGTCGCCCAATCAAGGTGACCGGCTGTGTCCAGTGCTGGTGGGGCTATATATATACAATTATAAATAAAAGCATCAATAGTCTTTGTGATGGTAAAAACAGTAAAAAAAAAAAAAACATCCCCTGATGAAGGAGGTACGGTATTCTAGTGGTAGGATGCTGGGCTCCTGACAGAAGGGTTGCGGGTTCGAGTAACGGTACGGCACGGCACGGCACTGTTGTATCTTTGAGCAAGATACTTTACTCCGCTTGTTCCAGTCTACTCAGCTGTAAATGAGTACATGGTTGGGCAGTGCTAGAATAAATTGCTGAATGTGAGCGCCAAAATGGCAGCTCTGGCTGTATGCTCCTCAGGGAGTTGAGAAAGATGTTGGCTGGTTGCAAAATCTCTATAACCACGGATAATAATTTGTGAACCACTTTGAGATGACCTACGAACTAGGTTGTGATAAAGCGGTATATGAGAACCTCGAATTATTATTATTATTATTACGTTTTGTATTATGAATCTCTAACAAGACAAATGTGCTAGGGAGCTGTTTTCTATATATAAATTTTTAGATCAAATAACAAATTTGTATAGTGCTTATAGTAATATACGACAGTTTTTTTACAGAAATCAGTACACTGGTACATCCTATTACAGTTTCTGATAAAACCTTAGTTACACAAACATTGGTTGTGATACTATGTACGTGTCGTTATGTTGACTCACGCACTGTTACTGATCACTTCATCAGATTTTATTGGAAAACACTTCAACAAGGAAGTTCTTACTGATGAATTAAAACATTTGACCGTGAGATTGACCAAGAAGGAAGTTTATTGTGGAAGTATTTACAGGGATTCACTGTGTACGGTATTACAAGGTAGAGGGTTGATTTGATTGGTTACTCATTATCAAATGGTCCTACGCTGTGATGTTTGATCCTGTTCTGTGACCTTTGATTGGGTACTCATAATCCATTGTTCTGTATTGTGATTGTGTTGCACTATTGATATATTTTGTCAAATTAGTGATACACAGTGTCATAAATAGAATTTCCATTTATTTTCATGATAATTAATGCCTGTTCTATTTCATCTTGTGGAATTAATATTTTTCTGCCTTTACAAAAATAAATTACATAAGCTTCACACTCATGAAAGTACCAATCCTTAACAATGAAATATATATGGCAATCATCAAGAAATGAAGAAATAGCATTTTTCTATCATTTTGATATGCCAGATGCATATATGGATATGCTCCACATACTGGCTTCCTTAGAGTTCGTGATGTCTATGATCAATTTCTGATAAAAATCAGCAGGTAATTAAATCTGTTATTAATCTTCAAAATTGATTTATTGATTATTAGCTCACCTGGCACGAAGTGCCAAGTGAGCTTATGCCGTGGCGCGGCGTCCGTCGTCCGTCCGTCGTCCGGCGTCAATATTTTACTTTAAACGACTTCTTCTTAATAACCGAAAGGCCTAGGGTGTCAATATTTGGCCAGAAGCAAACTTGGATGAAGGGCTACAAAGTTTGTTCAAATAAATGACCTTCACCTATTTTCAAGGTCACAGGGGTCAAATATGTCAAAAACTTTAAACATCTTCTTCTCAATAACCAAAATGCCCAGGGAGATGATATTTGGCCAGTAGCATGCTTGGGTGAAGGGCTACCAAGTTTGTTCAAATGAATGACCTTCAATTATATTCAAGGTCACAGGGGTCAATTGTATTAAAAAACCTTTAAACAACTTCTTCTGAATAACCAAAATGCTCAGGGTGATGATATTTAGCCAGTAGCATGCTGAGATGAAGTGCTACAAAGTTTGTTCAAATGAATGACCTTCACCCATATTCAAGGTCACAGGGGTCAAATATGTTAAAAA